CCAGGAAGCACAACCCTCCTATTCACTCAAGCACATGGCCAAATAGGCAAGCATTTTAAGCTCTAAGCCTTTAGCTAGGCAGGCAGGCAGGTTTGGCTGCTGGCTGGTAAGTCTCTTGGCCAGAACCTACCTCTAGTACCCTCCCTTTCCCAACCCTCTGCCTCCCACTCCTGCCCCCTGCTCCACATGTACCAATACCTCCTCCCAGATCTGGCACCCCAATCTCTTGCCTGACACCACAATCCTCTCCTACCCTAGGTCACATCCCAAAACCCTGCACCCCAGTTCCCTGCCCTAGATCACAACTGTCTCCTTCACCCAAACTCCCTCCCGGACTCCATTATCCATTCTGCACCCCAATCCCTTACCACGAGCTCCCTTCTGCACCCAACGTCTATACCAGACCCTGCACCTCCTCCACTAATACCATGGAAGAGCGCAGCCCTCAACCACTTTCCAAAATGTTGGCGTGCCCCCTCCCATCAAATATGATTGCCCACCCCGTTTTACAGGCTAGCTATTGGCACACTCCAAACCTTGAGCCCTCTGGAATGCCCACCCCCTGATCCACTGGTGTGTCAGATCCAGTTTCCAAAGTAGTAAGTACACCCCAGCTTATCAGTTCCACATCAGATTACCACTTCACTTAACACCCTGTACCTCAATATGTTTACTTTGAAATCAAGTATACATTTATTTAACAAAGCATAGAGATTCAAACTGTAGCAAGTAGCATATTGGAAATAAATGGTAACATATAAAATAAAATCATAACATGCTTTTTGGACTTTAGGCTTAATTAACAAAGATACAGGTCATGCAGAGTATTAGTCACCCAAAATCCTTACAGCACTTTACAACCAAGCTGACTATGATCCTCCTTTCATGAAAAGCAGGATGTCAGCTTGCCGTTTCAGTGAAGCACTCAGTGTGTTACTTCATACTCCAAGATATACCAAAAAAATCCTGTCTATTTTTATAACAGGACTCTCCTCCCCTTTGTCTGTCTTATAGATTTTCTCTCTTGCAGATTTTGCATTCTCTTCTTTTGCCTGTGGTTCAGTATGCAAATACAACACACAAATAGCTGAGGAAGGAGATAGGTGTCTGTTATCTCTTGCCAGAAAGGAACATTTCAGAGATATATCACCTCCTGGTGATCTCTCTCAACTCTAAGACCTTAAGAACATACATTTTATATAGACACATACATTCTTAAATATTGTCCATATAGAGACCTCACATGCCACTTTTAGAGAAATATTATGCAGATATCCCATCTAGGGATCCCTGGAAAATGTGTTTACTCCCTATGCCATCTGCCAGTTGGTATCCACAGGACCCTGGATCACAACTATACACATATGAATTTCTAAGATAGTATCTTTATAAGGATTCCTTAAGAGAGCCATATCAAAATCAGTTAAAGACACTGACACTATTTCCCTCCCATTCATTTACTCCCTTTTTTTAACCTCTTTGTATTTACCACAAAATCTTTATCTACATAAACTAACCACTAAAAGAAGAAAAATCACACATTGTATACAGGATAAAATCCTGGCTTCATTGAAGTAAATGACAGAATTCCGACTGACTTCAATCTGCCTGAATTTCACCCTGTTGTTTGGATTTAACAAGATGTGTCAAATAAGTAACTCCACTGACGATTTGTTTTAAGTATGGCAGTTAATCAGTCCTTAATGCAGCACTATTCAGAAAACATAAAAGAAACAAACATACTGATTCTCTTTAACCAGAGAAGTGACAGCAGCTTTACTTCAGTTAATTTCTAACTCCCTAAAACTGACCCCTTATGTACTTGTCAGAACAAAGAAAATCCCTTCTTGTGATTGATCTTATTTTGAATAAAAAAGCCAATGATATTCTTAACTAATTTATCACTACTGGGACCACTTGTGACCACAGTTAGCTCTTAATGTTCTTAATCCATGCAATCATGTTTTACTGCTATAACACTCATAGAATACAACTGCTATGCCACCTCTTCCATGTCCAGCCTGTCAATTACTAATTGTATTAATTACAGAGCATTTATGAGCCACGTAATTTTGTCCACTACAATATAAACCTATAACTACACTATGCATGCTTACAGAAGAAAAAGAAAATAACCTACTGGCCCTCATCTGCTTGATTAAATCCTGACAAGCTAAAAGCATCTTTTGATATATTCTTAATAATCACAGAAAACACCTGCCCCATCTCAATTTCAAGCACTTCCTTTCTGGACATGTGGACACACTTCTCTAAGGGTCATGTGTTAAAGGACACAATCCATTAATAATATACTGCTTCCTGATAACACATAAGAGTTAGCTAAAGTTCAAAGTAAAAACAGACTGTATAGCTGAGTACAAGCCTGCTAGGACAAGACATCCATTTATCCAAAACAAAACCTCTTTCATGTAAGAATTTAGAGAGCACTTTAGGCTAACACAGAAAACGTTTCAGAACATTTGGCCGATAAATCGTGAATTTAATATAAAAAGAACAACATATTTACTGACAAGCCATAGTCTCCAAAATTAATTTCAACTAGCTGCATATTTGAAAATCTCTATTTGGAGGCTGCAGAAAATAGCCGTATCTTCTATATGGTTATCCTCCAGTGCTCATTTAATAGAACGCTAGTAAGGGGCTACCTTCAAGAATATATTATCCAAGTAAGTTGTTATAAACCATCCTAACCCCTGAAATATAATTTAACTCCGAGGTACCTCCAGTCTCAGCACTGAGATTTTAAACAAGTCTTCTCTTAATACAAAAAAAGGGGGCACCTGATTATTTAAATTAGTTTTGACCAATTTCTCTTCTGTTTTCATTTGTTCGTTCACCAGGTGGCTATTTGGATAAATATGTTCAGCATTTTCTGTTAATGAGAGTCTCAAGGCAGTGAAGCAACTTTGTGTTTCTAAAGCCATAAACTGTTGCTGTAAACCACATAGCCACATCATATATATAGTAGCCCAGTGTATGAGACTCTATAATGCCGAAATGCTGGCTGTTCCCTCTGAGGAGCGCTGTTGCCTAAAATGCCAGCTGTTCCCTCTGGGGGGCACTGTTGCTGAAATGCTGGCTGTTCCCTCTGGGCGGCCCGTGCTGCATGGGGAGCGCAGGGCCCAAATGGCTGCTTGTGCCGCTTGCTCCTCCACGGTGGTCCGGCTGAGTGGAGCAGAAGTCAGCCGAGTGCCAAGGTGGGAGGCAAAGGAGGTCGGGGCGGTCACATGCGGTATGACAGCAGCTCCAGGCCCAGCCCCCTGGCCATGAACGTCGCCGCCCCGCCCCCCTTCGCCTCCCACCGTGGCGCTCGGCTGACTTCTGCGCTGCTCAGCCAGGCCGTTGCGAGCAACTGTTTGGGCTCCACACCCCCCATGCAGCACAGGGAGCGCATAGCCTAAACGGCCATTTGGGCTCCGCGGTCCCCCGAGTGAGAGGCAGGAGGGGGAGGAGAAGTGAAAGAGAGAGAGAGGCAGGAGGCGGAGGAGAGCTGGAGGAGGAGGAGAGAGACTGGAGGCTCAGGAGAGAAGACTGACATGGAGGAGAGACCTGAAAAACCCTTCTTATGACGGGCTAATTGGCTAGTTTTAATAATAAAAGCTGAAGATGCCATGTGACTTTTCAAGAACATGAAAACAAATATTCAACTGCAGAATATGAGAGGAAGGCATAGAAATCAAGAAGGCCATAATCCAGTTCTGCACTCATTGTGGGCATTAAGGATGACTAATCTCCTGTAAGTGGGAAGAACGTTACATTAAAAATACTCACCTGTAATGAGGATTTTACAACTGACTCAACCCTAATGCTTGAAAACTTTAGATATGTATGCTTTTAGATAACACCAGATCATAGTTTCTAAGAGATACTACGAACCACGCTCTGCAGTGCACAGCAGCTGCTTCATGCCACACTGCTGATGGTGGATGCAGCTGGAATATCCAGCCTTGGCGTGACTGCTGTAGTGGCACTGAATTGGCTGTAAAAGGAAGACAATACTACTGCTCAGAGCTCAGATGTTCAAAGTGAAGAGCTGGCGCACTCAAAGAGCAATGTGACTAGTAACCGATTATGCTGAGAAACCTGATGTTCTTTTCTATTTTATCCAAACAGAGGAGGTTTCATGGTCACTGCCACTTGGTTTTTCATGGCAGCCTATGTTCTGTGTCATATCATATGTAAATATATTTATTTCCCCAATAAAATATATTTGAGCATTTTTCATTTGCAGAATTTCAGTGTTAGTATGACCCACACACCTAGGCTATGTTTACACTGGCGCGATCTTGCGCCAGAGATATGCAAATGCCGCTAAGCGTGGAATATCGCCGAGCCTCATTTGCATATCTAATGAGCCGCCATTTTTGCAGAAGAGGCTCTTGCGCCGGAAGGAGCTGTCTACACTGCCCCTTCTTGCACAAGAAAAACCCTCTTGCGCAATGCCTTTATTCCTGAAAATAATCAGCGTAGCGACATTGCGCAAGGGGTTTTTCTTGTGCACGAAGGGGCAGTGTAGACAGCTCCTTCTGGCGCAAGAGCCTCTTCCGCAAAAACGGCAATGGCGGCTCATTAGATATGTAAATGAGGCTTGGCGATATTCCATGCTTAGCCTCATTTGCATATCTCTGGTGCAAGATCACACCAGTGTAGACATAGCCTAGTGTGGTTCACTATCCCATGCAGCGGCACCTAGACCACAGTAACAGATAAGAACAAGAGAGCTCTACGGTATGAGCTCAGAGCCAGCTAGCTTTTAGCTCAAAGGGTAGAGGCTCCTATACTAAGCTCCAGAGGTCCCAGGTTCAAATCTGCCTGCTGGTATTTACATTAGCATTTACTATTAAGAAATATACTAAGTCTACTTCATATCATTCAAATATCCAAGCCCTTACAACCAAACAGCAGTTCAAAACACTAATCCTAAAGAGAATTTGTCATCTACCATGTTCAGGCTTGGAACTATTTGATTTTTATCGTAAATGTCTGTAACCATTGATTTCATTGCATACGGTCAAACTGATGAAAAGGATATTTACTTTGTATGTTTTGACATGTCCACAGATTGTGTTTAAATGGTTATAAAGCTTTAACTTTAGAATCTGAATGTCTGTTTAATTAAATAATTATTGTCTGACATGCCCATAGCTTCCCAGAACTATGAAAATTTAAATAAATAAAAGTTGGGAAAAATGATTAAAAATAAATAATAAGCCCTAGGAAGTATAAAAATAAAAATCCAATTCAGCAAAGCCTTAACAATAATTAATTGTCTTCCTAGTAATTTCAATGTGATACAACTGTTCTTCGTGTTGAGTCTTATGAAAGTATCTAGTCTTAGCAGCACTGGAAAGGGAAACTAAATCCATACTTCATTACAAATACACAGGGCCTGCTGGGAGAAAAATATGGAACCATCCGAATACCTGGAGAAGTTGAATCATCAGAATTTGAGATGATCCTCGATGCTGCTGTGGAAGCAAAACTAGAGACAAGAATTCTGGAAGAGTGGTATTGCAGAGATGAAAATGCAGTGCCACCAGCATATTACCTCAGACAAAAATCTGAAATGCTGAAGAACAATCATAATACGGTAAATTACCTTCATGTCCTTAATAAAAAAAACTGACATAGGTTGGCAGTAGTGGATTTAATGCACCAGCATCATTTGAAAACAATTTAAAGGTTACAATAGAATGAACCTCCACAGTCTATGATCTCTTTGCATACTGCAAAAGTTGGCTCTGTGATGGTCCAGTCTAGTGAACCATAAAGGAAGAGTGGGATACCATTGGCCACAACTGTCACTTCTGTAGGGCAGTGATAATGGGCTGCAAGCATGGTTACAGCAAATGAGTCTTCTGCAGCAATTGAGGAATGGCTGCACAGGTGATTGTATCCATCCATCTTATTGGAAATGGGAAGATTCTCTCTCTGCCAGCCTTTGTACTGGGTTCTCATTAAAAGTTCAGGATAGGACTTAACATGGCAAATATGAATTTCTCCCCATGGCCCCAAGTCTTCAAAACAAGTAAGCACAGGCTAAAAGCTAAGCAAATTATCAAAATAAAGCACAAAGACTACCCTGACTGGGGATTCATATTACTATAACGTTGACTTAAGAGAAGTTTCTTGGTAAAATATTTTTGAACAGTCTCATCTATTCTCATCTCCCATATCCACACATACATTTGACCATCACTATGCATGGTGCAGAGCAAGAGCCTCTTTATAACTAAGGATAAAATTTGGCCTTCCAAAAGGAGAAAAAAAAAACCCTTCAATGGAGAGCTATATCCCAGAGCAAAATGTAACTTTCTTTTCAGTGTAAAAAACCGTATGCACTAAAATAAAATTAAACTACTACACAGCATGCATTTACTGTGTACACAATGCAATCCCTCCTCTGTTGCTTAAAAATGCTTGAGCAGTAAGGACTTAAGAGTTGAAGAAAGAACAGTACAGCAGAGTCTAAAGTGTTTGCCACCCAGGGAAAAAAGTTACTTAACATCCACTGCCAAACCCCAAATAATCTCTTAACTATACCTAGAAGGATTTTTTTTTTGTATTTTTGTTAACATTTTAAAGTTTTCTCCAAGCTACGGCACCACAAAGATAATGAGAAAATGTTCATAAGTCAACACTCAAGCAATGTTACTCCCAGTAACCAAAACAGAAGCAACAGACAGACTATAAAATGATCTGCTGCTGTGCCTGAGGCAGCCCAAGGCTTTGTGGACTAGACTGCAAAAGTGACAGTCTAGCACTAAATCAAAAACAATAATAAATTATTTTGTATTTAAATAGGGCTAACTGTAATCCTGACTTGAGTAGAGGGACAGTGCTTAGCTGTGCTGTCCCAGGAGCCAAGCAGGGACAAAACTGTGACTCAGAGAGCTACAATTTAGTCCCTGCTTGCTTCATAGCAGAAAGTAAAATGTGCCTGGTACAGTTTACTGCCCCCTCTGTGCTAACTGACATGCAGGGGCTTACAAAGAAAGCCAAGGCTCCATCCTACTCAGCTGCCACTGTGCTGCTCTCTCTCCAGGTTACATTCACCCACAGGAACTTTCCTCTCAGCATCTCAATGCGCTTGACAAAGATGAATGAATTTAGCCTTACAACACGCTTTGGCAAGTCAGATTACGATCCCCATTCTGCAAGAGCTGAAGTACTATCAGATAAAATCCAAGGTTTTCAAAAGTGGCACCTAATTTGGGGTGCTTAATTTGAGACGCCTTGTGCCTAATTTTCAGATTTGAGATCCTAGAATGAAAGTTGGTCTAAAAGTATTTAATAGTAGTAGTAGTAGTATTTCCTAGTATTTCAGGCCTAACCCAAAACCCTGCTTTCTCTTTATATTTTATTGAATATTCTCAATTACCCCTGAATACTGTTATTTGTATTTTTAGTGCTGTCCACTATGTCAGTTCAGGAAATTTTATATTCAGACTAGAGAAATTTATAATATACAATTATGATTTGTTTAATATAACAGTCAAGAATGAATATATGGGAGGGTTTTTTAATGTATGCATTATTTTATTTACATATTCTCCTTTCTTATGTATACCATTGCCTTAATCCTTTGCTTTCTGAAGTTGTAGAAACTGATGTTACAGCTACTGTTTAACTATGAATATTTTTTAAAAAGATGGAATCATCTTCAAATTCTATGAATGAGAACAAATGGAAGGACATATCAGATGAGATTAAGAAGATTTTTAAGACTGCTGTGAAGTTGCTGCATGAGAAAGGAAAAATGAAACACAGCCAAGCAAAGAGATATCTTTCTTCTGGTAAAGTTTAGAATACGTATACAAACTATTATGTCTATGCATTCATAATGTAGCCTAGCAATATTTCCACAACCACCAAACTATATTTTGACTGTAATTTCTCATACATAATTTAAAAGAGAAGATACATAAATATATACATATTTGGGCTGGCCCTGTATTATAGCTAATACTAAATAGAACACCTGATACTTTTGCATATTTTGCTCAATCATCTAGGAGGAAACCAAGATTTTTTTTCTGTTTTAAAGGTTAACAATTTTCCTTTATTCTTTTTTTTTTCCCCCTCCTTCCAGCTGTTGAAGATGAGCTTGATTTTGCCTTGGGAAAACAAACACCCGCTTTCCTGAAGAAGTGTGTCTGTTACATTCGGAAAATTGCCAATATTGAGCGTTTTGTTAAAATCCCAGAGATGGGAAGATACATGGATGTAATTCATATGGGTGGAAAGGTTCTGCGGGATCCAGAAGCTCATGAGAAACTGATCAAACTACGGGATGAATTTATTCCTACGATTGTTGCAGCATCTAATCTGAGAGTGTATACTTCTGTTACTCATTGTGACATGAAACTTGGCTACTCACAAGAAGTGGAGAACCACTACATTGAAGGTCTTGGTAAACAGTTCTACGAAGACATGGTTGATATAATTCAGGCCACAGTACAACAGAATTTTGACACCGAGACAGACTTGCTTTATGATGAAGTCCTTCAACACTCATCATTATGTAAAACATATTCCTCTTTCTACGAGTACAGGTGTGAGGCACTAAACATAGTTCATAAATACATTCTGAACAGCAAAACAGGACATATTAACCCTCTTATCATATATGGAGGACCATGCACTGGAAAAACCCTTTTATTAGCTGAAGTGGCAAAGAAGGTAAAAATAAAAACCAATATCCATTATAATACGCTAATCTTAACAGAGAAAGTAAATGTAGACCATGTTAATTCCCATTTTCCTTACTGTGGTATCAACAGATCAAAGATTAATCTTTGATACAGGCAATAAATCCAGTCTTCTACATATTACTGAATATTTATTCATGAAAGAGGCAGCGTATCTCCTAGTAGCCACATATGTTTTCAGCAAAAACATAATTGTTAGCAGAGCTTTTTAAGGAAATGTGAGTATTTCATCTGATTCCTAGACCACCGGTAAGAATACATTTATTTGTAATATAAAGAACTTTAGAAATACACCACCGTAACATCACTAGTCTCCCCCTCCTTGTTCCCTGGCGTCATAAGGATGTGACACCATTTAATGACCATATGATCTCAGTCTTACAGGGAAAACACGTTTCCAAGACATGTTAATTTGTTGCATATCTCCTTAAAGAATTGCTCCAGAAGTTCCATAATTTGTGTTTATTTCAAAATTTAGTTCACTTATGCCTCTCCAATCATATATTATCATGGGGAAGTGTGAGGAGCACATTTCATACTGCTGTAAGCATGTCTCCACTGAAAATCTTAGCTACACTGCTGTATTCCAAAGTGCTCTGGCAGTATTGCTTGAGCTAAAGACGACATATGATCTAATATTTCATTTATGACATATAATATTTACACATTCTAAATTCTTGCTCTTAAGAACATTTCTCCTCAGAAAAAAAAAACCTGTTTATAAAACCATAAGTAAAACAATTGTGCTTTTTTATTGTGCTTCATTTGGCTCTGTTAATTTAGACATTAACTCAATTATGCTTCTACATTATAGGCTTATACTTGGCTGCAGGAAGAGATGGGACCAGAATCTGACCCTGTGGTAGTTATAAGATTTTTGGGATCCACAGAAATGAGTACAGATCTTAAGAATCTGCTTCAAAGCATTTGTGAACAATTAGCAATTAATTACCGTTGCCTAGTACAAAGTTACCCTAAAAAAATCCATGATCTTCGGGACTTGTTTATAAATCTGTTGAATGAGTCTTCATTTCACAGACCATTGGTTATAATATTTGATGCCCTAGAACAGCTGTCAGATATTGATGATGCTAGGAAACTGTGGTGGCTCCCTGTTCATCTTCCCCGTTCAGTACGAATAATCATGTCAACACTGCCCAACAAACATGGGATCCTGCAAAAACTGAGGTGCCTTATTCATGAAGAGGACAACTACATTGAGTTGATTACAAGAGACAGAAAGATGTGCAGCCAAGTACTGAAACATCAGCTGCTGCATGTTAAAAGGAAAGTAACATCAGGTCAACAAATTTATGTCAATGAAGCTTTCTCAAAGTGCACACTGCCTATGTTTGTGAACTTAACCTTCAGAGAAGTTAGGAACTGGAGATCTCATAAAGATGTTGATGAGTCTTCCCTTTGTGTCACTGTTCATGAAAGCATAGAGCAGTTATTTTGGTCATTAGAAAACAAGTGTGGAGTAAAGCTGTTGTCAAGAGCACTGGGCTACATCACAATGGCCAAATCTGGCCTGAGTGAAATGGAATTGGAAGATATTTTAGCTCTTGACAACAGTGTGATGTATGAGTTAAACCAGTGTGTCAGGCAATGTAACCCACTGAGGGTACCATACGTATACATTTCTAGACTTAAGGAGGGCTTAAAGGGATACTTGATAGAGCGGCAAGTGAAAAATGTAATACTTCTAGTGTGGGCAAACAGGCACCTGCAGCTTATTGCCCAGAAACTGTATCTCCACAGTGAGGAAGATGTACACGAGATGCATACTATCATGGCAGAGTACTTCCTTGGTGTTTGGTCAGGTGGAAGAAGGAAATCTTTTTATAGCGAAGATCAGTATTTGAATGGGTGCTTTGACAGTGAGAACAGAAGCATGAATGATGGGGAGAAGCTCTGTATGGATCTCACTTCTTTTGACAGGCAAGCACCTGATCAGCCGTGGGTATTCCAGTGTAATCCATTAGAGCCTGACATCTTTTTTGTCAATCACAGAAAAATGACAGAACTTTTGCATCACTTGACGAGGTGTGGAAGAACAGATGATCTTCTGTACGGTGTCATTATGAACTTCAGCTGGCTGTACACAATGATTAAAATAGGACAGTTTGACAAAGCACTTTTTGACATAGAATTGGCTTATACCTATTCACAAGAAAAGGAACTGAAATTTCTGGCAGGCACACTGCGTAGCATAAAGTTCAAAGTAACAAAATATCCAGGTTCACTCTCTGCTGAATTGCAACAGAGGCTCCTTCCAGTTGTCAGCTCATTGCCTAAATTAAGGCATCTTCTCTTAGAATGTGACAAAGATGGACCCAAATACTGCTCTATTGTTCCCTTGCACTCCTCCATGGATGTGACATACAGCCCTGAGCGGCTACCCTTGTCATCCAGTTGCATGCATGTCACTGAGATCCTGCCTACTTTTAATCCAAATACAGTCATTGCTGCTCTTGAAAATGGCTCCATCAGTACTTGGGATGTAGAGACACGCCAGCTATTAAGACAAATTACAACTGCTCAATCGGTTATCTTAGGGATCAAACTTACTAGTGATGAAAAATATCTTGTAGTAGCTACAACAAAGAACACACTTTTGATTTACGATAACCTAAATTCCTGCCTTTTGTCTGAAGTAGAAATTAAGGGATCAAAACATTGTGGAATTGGGGGAGGCTCAAATTTTATAAATGGATTTACACTGTCCATTAATCATGCACTTGCTTGGCTGGAAGCCAGCAAAGATGTTACTGTAATAGATCTACTCTATGGGTGGCCTCTTTATCACTTCCACTGCTGGTATGAAGTGACTTGTGTACAGTGTTCTCCAGATGGAGTCTACGCATTCTGCGGACAGTATCTGAACACCACCACTATATTTCATTTAGGAAGTGGAGAGAAACTGTCCACAGTGACCTCTGAATTTTCAGGTGGATTTGTGAAATTTCTTCTTGTTCTGGACACTGCTCAAGAAATGGTGATGGTGGACAATGAGGGTGGCCTTTCAGTTTGGAACACTGAGGAAATTACAAATCCCCAACTGACAGATGATTTTGATTGCAGGAGAGAAGACAGTGAAGTTGTCAGCATTGAACTTTCTGAAGACCAAAGTGCAATTTTAATTTGTAAGGCACTCAGTATAGAACTTCTCGACACTGGCATGTGGAAAGTGGCTGAAAAGTTCAGAGCAAAACACAATGAGCGCTTTATATCTGCTGTTTTATCCAAAAATGGTGACTGTATAATTGCTTCTATGGAAAATACCTCAGCCATTTTTGTTTGGAGGAGAGATACAGGACAGTGTATGGCAAGCTTACAGGAAATCTCAGGAACCATAGTCAGGCTAATTAAATCCAATCACCATAACATGCTGCTATCCTTATCCACCAGTGGTGTCCTTTCTATTTGGGACATAGATATCATAACTGCTATGTCCAACATTGACAAATCTGGCAAACCCATCCATAGACTGGTGTTGCCAACCAGAGGTGAAATAATTTATACACTAGATGGTTCAGAATCTGTACATAAGTGGAACTTCAGCACTGGTTTCATTGAAGCTGTGTTCAAGCATGAAGGTATTGTTGAAAACTGTGTGCTGACCTCTTCTGGAGAAATAATGATTACATCAGATGACAAATGTAGCCAATATGTATGGCACACCATTACTGGTGAAAATATCTTCCGCATTAATGGACAAAGGATATCTCAGCTGATGATTACACACAATGATCAATTTGTCGTCTCGCTCTGTGAACAAAATGCCTCCAGAGTTTGGCGACTGGCCACAGGACATAGAGTTTGCAATATTTTAGTTGCCTTACAGAATGCATTTATAACCACTGCTAATACATTTGTAGTAGGAATGACAAAGAATAAAGTGTTAGCAGTAAGTCTATGGACAGGAAGTATAACCAAGAAATTTTGCTGTGATGATGGTACAACCATTGTTGATATTAAACTGATTCCAGACTGCCCAGATATTGTAGTGTTTATAACATCCACTGAAACAGTGAACATCTGGAGTCTTACAGAGGAAGTTATCTGCAGGCGCGTACAACTGCCTACTAATTTCTTAAAAGACTTAGAAGACTTTGAAATATCCCCAAATGGGAAGCTAGGAATTCTATCCCGTGGTGATGAGAACATCAACGTGCTTGATTTACACAGCGGCAAGCTTCGTGTGGTTCACGCCCCTGGCGTTATCTGGAGGCAGAGGTTGTCCCGTGATGGCCGCTATCTTGTGTACATCTGTTTTCGTAATGAAGATGATGATGACAATGGTGCCATCTCAAGTTTAATTGTAATGAGACTGGCTGATGGTAAAAACATTGGTGCTTGTTCCCTTTATAAAACTCCAACCTTTCTTTCTCTCTCACAGAGGCATTTAAATATTATTGTTGGCTTTGATGATGGAAGTATAGGCACTTACACTGTAGTGGATCGGGTAGATGCAGCACTGAAAATTAAAATTGCTACTTCAAATAGCCGTCAGATTTTCAGTAATGCAACACAAGTGATTAGGCCCAAGTGTCACAATTATAGCTTCAAGGTGAATGCAGACTGCATTTGGAGAGAATCTACTGAGGTGTTTGCAAGAGACAGCCCCATCACAGTGACAGATCCTGAGACAAGTGAAACAACCACACCCAAAAAACACAATTATTGCTATGAGAAAGTGTGCTCTGCTATAGATTGCAGAGGACACAATTTTACTGCTGATAACTGATTATCAACATGCACTAGTGTTGTTAAATCCCTAGTGTGTGCGCACAGGCTAGTCTTTTGATGCAAAAGTATGTACCAGTGCATTTCTTGAAAGGCTAAGAAGAGCAGAGGGCAGGAATGTGGTTTTTCCTCAACAAATATTCTTACATTTATGTGAACAAAAACAAGCAAAAAATGTGTAACAAAACATTTATCCAATGGGCTGCAGGGTTTTTAAAATTTTGAAATACGAGGTTTAGTCCAAGGTTAGATCCAGGGCCTTGACAGACAATTTCTAGCAATACTATTACAATTGTTATACCATTGCAGCAATCAGAAAATCTTATTGGGCTTGACAGAGTTTTAGCTAGAGATGAAACTCCAGTTATTGTTGGAGAAGAGGCAAACCACTCTTTTGTAATCCAGATAGCCTCACTATGGACAAAGTTAGGTCAGCTGTTATCCTGAGTTTATACCTACTTGCAAAAATGTGTTTTTCTGCTGGATGGTGCAATGACAAGATGTCACCTGCCAACCTGGAACACTTGATGCATTCCATCACTTAATGAAATAGCTACTTTTTTAAAAAAAATGTTATTAACCTTTGGATTGAAAAGGGTAGAAACCAATCAGCAAACATCTACTTGTGAGGTAAAATCAATCTAAATGAAAGTACTGAAAGTTGCAAACATTGCATGCAAGGATTTTTTCTATAGTCTGATAAAAATGATAAACTAGTTATTATCTAGGTCATAAAAGAAGAAGTGTAACCCTGAAATTGTATTGTTTTTCTGTCTCTTGCACAGTGCATATTAATACTGGATAAAACAAATACTTTTTCAAAGAGAAAGGGCATTAACAGATAAACACTCAATCACCCTATTCACTTCTATCTTTGTTAAAAGGTTACTTATTTTCTTTATTGTATAAAAGTTTGGAATATCGCTTAAGTTCCTACAGTGATCTTAACAGAAAGCTGTCAGACATGCCATGTATTATTCTTGACAGTGTTTGCCTTACTACCATTCCTATCCTTTCCTGTGTTTTACACAGACCAGATGACCAAATACTCTGGGACTAACAGAATATGCCTGCATATGTGCTGAAATATTCCATAAAATCTAAAGCTATCCAAAGGTTCTTTATTGTTCCAATTTATAATGGATTTCTTACTTCAACATATTGTACACCCATTATGTTTCACTTCCTGCTTTAGGACTGTTCTGAGCCTTTTATACAGTTTTATCAGTTTCAAGGCAGAAATTGTGAAATATTGTCAATTATTTTAAAAAAAATTCACCTAACTAAAAGAAGTGGCTATTTATATCTAAAAGGTGAGAGGTTCTCCCCTCCACCGCATCTTAATCATGGCATGTCCTTGGCAAACTTTTCAAAGAATTTAAACAAATCACATTTTTCTTTTTTGGAAAGTTAGAACTCCATGCCTCTAAATTACCAAGAAATGAATGCCAACCTAGGGTTTAACATAGTGTGTGAATGTTCTATGTAAAAGCCAATATAGTATATCAAGTGACTTGAATAACTTTTCCTAACTTGTTTGCAACTAATAGATCATATTGAATGTTTTTATGTAAAACTTTGTATTGTTGGGAAGAATTACCCAATCAGAGATTTATATTTTCATAAATGTTAAATTTAGTTAATTTTGTTACAGAGTTGTTAAATTAGAAATCTATTCAGTCTTCAAACAATATAAAGTCTTGTGAAATCATTGTTTGTATGAATAAACTAAGTAAACAGATTATTATGTGTGGTTTTAATTTGTAAAGAAATTTCTGAAAAGGGACTTCATTTTTAGGGTCAGATGCTCAGTAGGTGTAACTCAACAATGCTTTAGTAGAAGCTAAGCATTATTTTGAGGCCACAAATAAAATGTAAGTGATGTACAAGCCCAGATCTGTCTCATTATTTTAGGTGCCCTATGCAGCCTGAGCACCTGCATAGGGGGAGAGAGAAGCCACTCCATGGGGTGGGCCTGTGTGGGCAGGAGCTGGAGGGGGAAAGGGAGGAGAGATGGGAGACTGGAGGGAAAGCAGGCAAACTGAGTGACATTGCTGGCTGGAGCTGCAGGCCAAGAGGTGGAGCAGGAGGGAGGAGGAACAGCACATCCCGCTGAAGCTGGGGGGCCTGCAAGTGGAAGGGGGAGTGGTGCAGCCTGCCAAAACTGCAGGCTGACAGGTGTAGGAGAGGGGGGAGGATTGGGTCCAACAGGGCTGGGAGGAGGAGCAGGGGATGGGAGATGGAGCAAAAGGCTGGGGGACCAAGGCCGACTGGGCCGGGAGGCAGAATGAGGACTCAGAGGATTGGTGCTGACAGAGCTGAGAGGCAGAGCAGAGGGCAGGAGGATTTTGGCCCGTGAAGCCAGTGGCAACACTATGCACACACAGCATAGGGCACCACTAAATTTGAGGCCCCACCCCATACCTTTCCCCTATTCCCCACACCTCCTCCCTTGCATAGGGCTCCACCCCCAAACAAAGTGAACCAGTGGATTACGGGAGGCCTGGCATGAGGTTGCCCCCATCCTGTACTCCCAATGCTACTGTGAACTGAAGCAACCTGCTCTGCTCCTCTCGGTTGCACTCTCCCAGCCCACTGTGCTCCACTTCACCATGGCAGTTCACCATGGCTTCACCTGGAGCCAGGATTGTTCTGCTTCCTGCTGGCCTAGGCTGGGAGAGGGCAACATGGCAGAGTGGAGCCGGTTGCCAGGTTGCTCTGCTTTCCACTGGAGCAGTGGGGGGCGGGGGGAGGGAGGGCAGCCCCTGCTGCTGTTCCCTGCTACCACCATTCCTACCCCACCGAAGCCACTGGATCGCCCTGGGCCCCATACATAGGATGGTTGAGGTGGCTGCTGCAGGGCCTAGGGCAGTTGCTCCAAACTGTCCTATGGACAAGACAGCTCTGGCACAGTCCTGCTGTACTCTGCATTGTGAACTGCTTCCAAACTCAGGACGACGCATAGCCAACTTAAAGCACAGACTCTTAATCATTATCTTCAGCTACCCTGTAAGATCCTTGGAATAGGGATCATGATATCTAGGGTTTGTGCACCATGATGCGCAACACCAAGGGATGCCAATCCTTATTGAGGGCCTGGTGCATTACCATCATGCAAATAATAAATAGCTCAAGTTATTAACATTCTGAAGGAAGCTGGTTCAGCAATTCTTCAGGTAGCCTGTTAGGTGAGTGACAGGCAGCATTGTGAAAGGGCCTTTCATTGATACACATTTTGGAGTCTCTCTATTTAGAAATGCCAGCTTGTTTTTTTGACATACCGTTTTTCAGGTAATCGCACCAAAACGTGTGCAAGGCCCTGTGGATGGTTTTAATGAAGGATTAGTGTATCAAGAATCATTTTTACGTATTTAGATTGCAAATGCGACCCACTTTAAAGTTGTTATAATCCACTGAGGAATGTACTTGAGATTATAAATGTTTAACGCATGGGAATAATTCTTGCTAGAGTACTGAGTGGTTAAAGGAGGAGGTAATAGGACACAGAGCTTTTCATCTTTAGTTTACCTTTCAAACGTGGTCACTGGGGTAGTCACAATGATTGCAGTTTAGTGCCCTTATGTGAAATGAACTGAAGATCTAAGACCATGGGTTTCTAAATCTCAGTGTTCACCCTCTCAATTATAACAGTATATAGAAACTAATCCTTGGTTATGATCCTTCCAGGTAAAATCCTGACCCATCCTATTAGAAACAATAGTAGGAAGCTTCCAGGGCTGCTGCTGCCACACAATATTGGTGCTATGAAGAAATATTCTCTTGCTATCCAGGACTGGTAGCTTGGTGCTGAATTCACCTAAAAAGCAAAGGCCTCGATCCTGAAATGTGCACAGGCGCTCTGCTCTGAGGCTACTGTCATGACCTTCCACACATTGGGACTGAGATTATTTTGACACAGAAAAAAAGTAGTAGGTTTCTGCTCCAGTGGCTTACATCCTAAGGCCCTGATTCTACACACATTTCAATACATGCTTCGCTTTAAGGTCCTACTGTGATCATACTTCCTGACACCAAATACAGGACACCTGGTAAAATTACTTGTATTCAAGCAAGTTCAACAGTAATCAGTCAAACAATTGTTCAAATTAACATCAAGTTGACTAAGCTCCTATAAATAAGAAATACTGCACAGCAAGATTCTTTTCATTTTACTTTCTTTAAAGCTTTAGCATTCACACAGGGAAGGGGTAGCATTCACACACAGCTCTACCCCAGCCCAAGCGGAGGGGTCACACGCACATCTTTAGGGATGTAAAATTCCACTGACATTTAACCAATTAATATTTAACCAGTTAACTGATTAAAGAGAGAGCAGGTGGGGTGGGGGTGCTCCAGCCCTTCCAGCAGCAGCAACTGCTCCATGTGGCCTGGACAGGCCCCGCCCACAGTGGCCCTGTGGGGCTGAAGCAGCCCCCTGACTGTGATGGACAGGGAGCTGCTCCAGCCCACATCAGTTAACCATTCACATCCCTAATCTATACACCTCAATTACACAGGGAGGTGACCAACCAACCTCACCATCTCTGCCCTCCATGCCTGACTGGGCCCCCAGGATGGTCCCTCTTCTCCTAGTACCGTATTTTCCCAAGGCAACATGCAGAGGGGCACACAGGGGTCACAGCCCCTCCAACCCCAGCTTCCTGCTAGGTTTCACAACAGAATATGGCTAGCACCAGCCCTTCAGCACTATGTGTGAGGGAAGGGACGGGAGCTGCTTCTAGCTGCAGGGGAGTGGGGGGGAGATGACCTGGCCCTGCAACTCTGAAAAACTCTTCTTCTCCCCATCCCTGTTCCCGCCCTTCCCACCACGTGGCTGAAAGCAACATGTTCCTTCCTGCCCACACAGTGTTGAAAAGCAACTAACACTGCCAGGGTGCCGCTGGCCACTGACACACACTCCCAGCTACAGCATGGGCATTAAGCCCCAAGGCTACATTGTTCATCAGGACACGGGGAGCCTGACTGCAGGGGTTTCAGCAAACCCTGCCAGAGAGCAGAGTGGTAGCTCAGCAAAGCAGATGCTTCAGTGGTAGAGCAGCCTCATGCTCCCTTGTGTGTGAAGAGGATACTAAGCCCCTGCCTTGGGGGCTGCTGTGGAGCCTGCAGAATCAATGCACGACCAGGCTGGAAATAGTTTTCCCCCACCCATTACTCCAAAGTTGAGTGTGAGGTAGGGGGGAGGCTACCCCGTGCCAGCACTGTGCAGAGCATTGGCACGTGTAGGGTTAGCCCCCAGGCCAGATGGACTTGAGCTTTCCCAAGGTGCCTGCCCAGCCAGAGGCAGTGGGGGAAGGAAGAAGCTTGCCAACAGGCTCTTGGTGAGCTCAGCACTCCAACCAGTGGCTGGTTTTCCACACAACACTGGGAGCAGAACAAACCATCAGGGTCGCTACAGAGGAGCAACAGGGCTGTGAAGTGGCAAAGCAGGGAGGGGACCGCAAGAGGGGGAGTATGTAAAGGGCCACAGAATGGGCAGCAGAAGTGACACATAAACCAGCACCACCTGGCACCTGCTCATGCTCACCAGCCAATGCAGCTCACAGCCAGTGCTGGCCAGAAATGGAACCAGGGGCTAGGCCCTGCTGGCTCAGTCAGCATACAGAGGGAGCTGTGCTGATGGATGGGCACAGAGAATGGCCAGCCCCACGCACTGCATCTTCACCCACCACCATTGCGCACACCCACCTCTATCACCAGCCACTGGACCCACCCCACAGTAGATTAGACAGGAAGCCCAGTAGGGGAAGACTGAAAATGGCAACTGTCGGGGATGGGGAACATGGGTGGAAGGGCAGGAAGCCTTTCTGGAAGCCAGAGAGAGAGAGAGAGAGAGAGAGAGAGACTGTATAAGGAGTCGGGAGGGGGGAACCAGGAGCTGGCTAGACAAGACGACTAGGACTGGAGATGGGAGAAGACTAGTATGGGCAGTGCAGAAGGCAAACCTAGGACTTCTGAGCTACAGACTTGGACTGAGGAAAAAAGCCTGAGAAGTGGAGACTTTTCCTGGTCCTGGCTAGATGAAGAGGATGAGACCGGGATGAGGAGCCAGGGTGGGGAAGAGACAAGACTGGGCCTGGGATAGGTCCAAGGGGTGAAGGCAGAAGAAGTCAAGCTTGGGGAAACTGAGGCAGAAGCATGGGCAGTGGGTATGAAATGCAGGGGAAAGCAACGTCTCCCCAACTGCCAGGCGTACCAAGACTGAGGCAGCACATCCTACCCATGGTCCCAGGCTGAAGAAACTGCGGCTGTGGTCTGCCCTTATTTCCCATATTCTGAGGCCAGGGAGGCTCAGGCTGCGTGCCACCCCCATAGGTGGGGCAAAAGGCAGAGACCTGCTCCTTTGGCTTAAATCTCGTGGGGTGCCTTGGGCAGAACGTGAGGGGCTGAGGCTTGCCTCCCCTAGCCCTAGGTTCACCCACCGTCCATGGTGCTAGCCTGAGCCCAAATGGCTATGCTTCTATTTTTACCTCTGTAGCATAAACCCTGAAGCCCAAGTCAGTTGACCTGAATTCTGAGACTTGGCGCAGCAGGTTTGGGGGTTTTTTAGTGTAGATTTACCCTAAGTAACTCGGACTTGATGTGGCTATCTGGTATGTGGCTATATGGTTTGATTTGATGTGGCTATCTGGTATTTGATGTAGCCATACTGGTTCCATGCCTCACCATGGATATCAATTGGCATCTCTTTCATAGAGTGGTGGGTGGGTATCTGGCACAGTTACAGACTTCCCTGACACCTGGACATTTTTGGGGCAAGAGGGATGCCCTGGCACACGTTTAGGTAGAGTGTGTCAGATTGCCACCTGTATTCTGGCTTTTCCAGAACCTCTTATTGTGGTCCTGGCTGCACTTTCCCCAAAACATCCTGATCTTGCCATTCGTGACTCTATAAAGTTATGGGACCTTCCTGTCAGTCTCCTCCTGGCGCTAGCCAAGATAGCCATCACAATCTTGCCAAGAATAGGAAGCTGTGATTGTGGGGCCTATTTTTGTTCCTTTGTTAATAGAACTGTAGGACTAAAAGGGAAATTAAGAGGTGTGCTAGTCCAGTCTGCTGCATTCAAGGCAGGACTGTGTGTTACCTAGACCATCTCTGACAGATGTTCGGTCATCTAGCACTTGTGCTCTGAAACCCAGCAAGGGAGATAAGTCTCTGAGCCCAGGTTCTAACCTGAGCATTTCTATTACTTTCTTGAGTCAATTGACCTGGACTCCAACATTTGTTTCCATGGCAGGTTTTTTTGTTCTGTTTTGTTTTTGCAGAGTCAATGTGTAAAAGACTGATGATTCCTTACGGTTGCCATTAGAATCTTGACGTTGGACTCTTCATCATAGATGTAGATTTAATGAGGGTTTTTATATTTAAAATGTTCCTAATTCTTTAAACCTATTTCCAACAACACTAAAAACTTCGGAGGAAGTGCTTTCTGTAGCAGTTATTGTAGATAGTCTGTTATTGTATTGTATTGATGTTACTGTAGATAGTCTGTAGTCTGAAAGCTCTGCTATGTTTATGCTTTAAATAATATACTTTAATAAAAATTGCTTTGGATGTGCTAAATGTAATTTGTTTACTCTCGTCTTATATTTAGCCTTTGAATGTGTAACTAGAGAAAAGGGAGCTATAAAAACCAGAGGCTAGGTGGCGCAGTTGTTTTACACATTAATGTTTTGTTTTCTAAGCCTTGTGTCCAGTTTACAGAAGCCACAAATGAAATGGGTCTGATGTTCTGAAATTTATACACTCCCCAGTGCACATAAGAAAAATCACCATGGGACAATTTCTGCTCAGATTGCACACTTGAGCTGCCAACAGCATTCCTCAAATGAGTGAGGCAAATAGGTCGTACTGCCACATTTTTAGGTTCCCTTCTCATAGTGAGGTCAAGGACTGTGGTAACTGGGGTATTGCTGGTCAGATCAGAGATGCGCTGGCGAAGTTGTATAGTCCAAGACACATATCTAGTGTTATTTTCTAATGAATGATAGCCAATAGTATCAGATTCATTTCCCCCCAAACAAAAAAAAAACAAATAGAAAGGATTTAGTAGAATATTTCATCTGGTTAGAGCCAAATGTAGCCAGTTTTAGACCCACAGCTCTGAAACAAAGGACTGGAATTGTGCAGTGTTGTCACAATGCAGCAAGTTCCTTTAAAGATTCAGCCTACAATCTCCAGGAATATCAAGAATCGGTCTTTTAACAAATCTGAAATGGGGAAATTTAATTTGACTGGTTGCCTGCAAGAATCTCCTAAAATCTCTCTTCTTACAAACAGGCACTTCCTCCTCATTGGAGTGGGACAAGTAATCACTCTCCTTTCATATCATATCTGGGAGTGCTAATACCACACCTAGAAAGCAGCTGTTTCAAGAAAACCAATAACTTTTATGGCTAGCTCTGATGTAAGCTCCATAAGCGTCTCTCTCAGCTGCAGAGCAGCAATCGGAACAGCAGCACCCAAGATGGTGGTGACTACAATTCAGTGCTAGGTAAAAACACCTGATCTGAGAGGGGGACTTTCTGATCAGCTGAGTTTGTGACTTGGGATAATCTAATACATGGAATATTCAAAATGCAGCCACAGTCTGAGAATATATAAATTGCCTATAAAACAACAAGGTTAGTCAGGTTTCATATCCAGCTTGCAGGTAAAGGGTTACAGATTCTAGGAAGTATTAAATGCAAACTTTAAAGGATTTTATTTTCATCTACAGTCACATGATACCCTTATACCCAATGACACTAACTACAGTGTCTCATTAAGAGGTCATGCAAACTCTCAGGCTAAACAAGGCATTCTTACATATTTAACATTCAAATGCTGAAACCAAGCTAAGCCATGGGAGATTGTAATCAGAAAAGAGCTACACTTCCTGACCAACACAAAAGCTGCAGGTAGGAAACTTTCTTGTTCTTTCATGTTTTAAACTTCCAGATGTTGATTATACTTTCAAGAGAAACTGTTTACTGGGTATTTATTGCACTCTGTTTAGTTTTCACTTTTAGAAAAATCTTAATACTTTTGTCCTAAAATATCTGAGCTCCTTGAGGTTTCACCTGTTGCAGGGATAGTACTGTTTTCCAGGCAGACCCACACAGACAGCTTAGTACAAAACCAAAGCAGATCGGATAGCTTTTTTTTAAAAGTACATATTACCAATAAAAACCTAAACAGATTAAGTTAATTTTTCTATCTAACTGATCGTGTTAGCTGTTATTAGGTGCATTTTTAAATAATCATTACTACACTCAGGATGCTCAAAAAGAGAGGATTTAGGGAACCTCTGACTTTATTTATGCCTTCCATGAACTGCATATTGTTTGAGTCACTTCAGTGAAACTGTGATTTAGTGGATATGACTGCCCATTAAAATTATGTAATTCCAGTTTTCTCCCATCTAGAATTTGGTGCATCTTTCTGAAAACTTGCAAGATGAATAAGAGGCAGGGGGTGTATGGGAGGGGAAAATTCAAATATATAAAGACAAAGCAAAATCTGGAAATGGGGGATGTGCACATAGTGAGTATAAGGCTTCAGTTAACTTGGGAAATCAGGTATGCAAGGTACAGCAAGCCTTGTTAACTTGTACATGGAATGGCAGGAGGTTTCACTGACCTTGTCCATATCATGAAGGGTCATATTTTAAACTTTTGTTTAATTTTGCTAGTATACAGTGTTAAGCAAACCAGAGTTCTCTCTGACTGTCTTGAAGATATTCTCTCCACCTATGTTTTTGCTTAAATATCAAAATATTTCAGATAATGCAACTCACCTTTATGTTCCCTTCTCAGGAAAGCAGTACCCAGTCATGTTTGACAACACTAGTTCTATTTTCTAAATTATTGTCCCTTGAGAATTCCTATTGCTTTTAAAGAAATTAGTAGTCTTTACTGAGTTACTCAAATTACAGTAGTTCTAGTAGAGAGGCAGTGAGTGCAAAGAAAGGTTGGGTTTTTCCTCCGAATCTTTGTGTGTGAAACTCTTAAATGTTCTCCTGTCCCATCTACTATCAACATACATTTCGAGAGAGAAGCAAAGGAGAATAATACTGAGTACTTACCTTGCATTCTGTGGCCAAGATTTCCAAGTGCTCTGTAACGGAAGCTGTTGTCACCCACTATTAACAAATGGGGAAACTGAGCCCACAGGGAGATTATCAGCTACATTTTCAAAACAGGACACTATTTTAGGAACTTCAGTTCATTTTGTAGATGCCCCACTTGAGACATCTTGGGCCTGACTTTCAGAAGCGCTAAGGTGAAATCAAGCCCATCCAAAAACTTATAATCACTCAAGATGGTCTCCACTTTTGAAATTGTGGCCAGAAGTGGTCGGTATAAGGCCACATAGCAAGTCAGTGGCAGAGGGAAGAACAGGATTCAGCAAGATCTATGAAGGCTGTGTTGGGACAGTGTTCTGAATGTACGTCCCTTCAAAGAAGGGCAGAGTGATTTGCAAGTTGTAGCCTTTGAAAACCACCATATACATGATTATGTTGTCCTTACCCAGGAAATACTCCCACTGATTTCAGGATTAGACTTCAGGTTCCCCACAGCGGTCCTACAGCTTTAAAATTGGTTAAATGAAATACATAATTAAATATAGGTTACACCTCTATAGTCTGAACTTCTGTCATCCAGTGACATCTGTGGCCCAGCAACCCCATGGATGCTCCCAAGCTGGAGCACTCCCGGGGAAAAGCCACCCCTGTGCTCAGCAACTCCTCTCCTGCCTTCCCAGAGCTTGTACAGCACTGCACACAGCTCATTCGTGGCACTCAAACTCAGGGGGGCCAAGAGGGACACGTGGGGAAGAGCCAAGAGCGCAGCCCTGTGAATGATGGAGGGCGCAGAGAGCGCAGCCCACCTGCCACAGGGCTTGGTGTGCCCCTGCAGGGCTGTACTCCTGATCCCCAGCCATAGGGTTCTGCAGCCACTCTGCCCTCTCTCCCCCCATCACCCTCGCCAGTCCCTGCTCAGTCAATACCAGTCCCTCTGCTGCTACTGAAGTGAAGCCTGGCAGCCAGGGGCAGCAGAGGAACTGGCATTGACCTCCTCTGATCCAGCAAATTCCTTGGTTCAGGACCAGTCAGGTCCCAACGGTGCCAGACCAGGGAGGTACAACCTGTAGTGATAAACAAAGGGAACAAATTTTAGCATTTTCAAACAGCCATGCTAGTAAAATTAATCTCAATAGTGACAGCTGAGACCAGGACAAATTTCATGACGGGATCTGATGCTGTCATATAGGTATTCTAAAACCACCCATCCTGTCCAACAATCTTTCAGAGATCAGTGTTTGTGTTTAAATGTCCCTACATCTATTTAGTTTAGTTTAGTTTGGGGTTTACCTACAGGTAATCTGAATCAAATCCTGAATCGTTTCAGCCAATTGTATATGTGTTTTAGTTAAACCTACCTCTGAAAAACTAGGAGTATTGCTCTAACTATGGTGTTACTAAGAGGTATTTGCACTTATCGGACCCAATCTCCAGCTGGTGTAAATGGGCTCAGCTCTGTTGAGTAAAGCACCTGAAGCATGGGTTTGTATTATTAACATCACTGCCCTGCCTGATGTATTCATATTATTTGTATGACTGTCACACTGAGAAGCCCAAGTCATGAACCAAGATCTCACTTTGTTAGGTACTGTCCAAACCTAGAATAAAACACAGTTCTCACTCCAAAGAGCTTAAAGTCTAAGCATACAAATTAAAATAGGTATTTTCTGCTCATAACCACACAGCTGTAAATGAAATACCACTGATTTCAGAAGGGTTTCTGTAAAATTGCCCAAATATAATCAAGAATAAAATTGGGCCCAAATCATTCACAAGATCAATACAGAAAATTCTTCAGGTTAGCATAAGGGGTGTATTTGCAGAGCTGTGCTTAGACCTGGAAAACATGCACCAGGAGCTACAATGATCCCACTGTAGAGCTTCAAATGGAAAAGGGGCCCCTGTCCTTTCAGTGATAATGTCTATTATGACTGGGGCTGTAAGCGACTAGTTGACTACCTGGTAAACCTAGGCTTTTCAGGTAGTTGAGTCACTACTTGACTAATCGCTTCTCCCCCTTGCTGCCTCTGTATCAGGAGCCAGAACTGGGGGAGCCGGCTTAAAAGCCGCTTTCCCCCAGCCCCATCTCCACAGGGGGCAAGGAAGGCAGAGGCTCAGCAGGGGAAATGGTATGAGCCAGGATTGAGCAGTCCCAGTTTGCACCAAGTCCCAGACACTGCGGATCTGTTATTTACATGTAGTAAGAGTCATCATGTTTTTAAATGTAGTAAGAGGTACAGCAGGTGAAATTGCTCAGCTCGCGCCATCTCGGCTTGCGCCTAGTCCCAGGCTGCTGCAGCTCTGCTTTTTAAATGCAGTAAGTCTGGTGGCTCCTACTATATTTAAAAAGCAGAGCTGCAGCGGTCCCCCTTATCGACTAATCAAGTTGTCAATGGAAATTATGACCCTTCTGTTTTAAGCAATTTTTGTACATGTTGGCTGGGTCATGCTATGCCCGTATTTAGCATTTAGTCCTTAAATCATGTACATGTTTCATTATGTAAAATGGTCTGAGCTAGAGAGCTTCAGAAGTATCATACTAAACATTTGCATTGCCTGTGAAGTATAGCTTATCCATCACTTTAGTTTCATAATCCTTACAGATTTAAAAAGAAAGAAGTATGATTTCTGAATGAGAGAAAAACAGCCACAGAAACTTCCTAAGAAACCAGTGCAAATTATATAGCTGCATCTGGCTTCTTTTTTAGCAGCTCAGCTGTGCTTTATATGTACAATAATTTGAATTTCTGTTATTGTTTAGGACGTGGTCCCCTTTAGTCTTCTTGCTTTGTCATTCCATGTAAGCACAAAATTAAATGCAGTAGTGCCTTATGGGACAGGTTTAGTAGAGTCATACAAATCTAATAGTCTTTCTGGTACATTGGCAATGACGAATTGTGGGAAAGTAAGAATCTGGAGAAGGGTCCAAACAGACAAAAGTGCAGAACACAAACCTCTTCTACCTACTCTCTATTCCAATGTTATCTGGGGATAATGTTGCCATTACAAATATCACACAAGTACAGAGCCTAGTGATAAAGAAGGACCTAATGATCATGTTTCAATGAGAGAGGCTGGTGCTCGGGGAGGCTGAGGTGCTCAAAAAGCAGGATTTCATTACTTTTTCAGAGAGGGTTAGAAATAGAGCTGTGTTAAGTGGGTGATCTCACTTTGTCCTTTATTCAGCATGACTGCACTAGATTTGCATTTCCCAGGGCTCACGTTGAGCTTGGGGGCAACATGAACTCCTCGGAAGCTTAAAAACAAGCATGTGCTGAAGTGCTAAACTGTATTGGGGCCAGAGTGCTCACTAGCTTTCAGGGTACAGCCCTTACTCCCTAGGAAGGAAGTCAAGGACAGGGGCATGGAGAGAAGCATGGGATGTGAAGCGACAGGGGATGACCTGGAAAGACAGGCAGGAAAGTCTACAGAGCACTTGGCTCTCAGAAGGAAACTGTCAACTGGCCTCTGAACTAAAGAAGCAGCCCGTGAAATCTGACAACGCATGACTCCTTACTGTAGTGCTAGAGAAAGCAAACAGGGAGAAGTTAGAGGAGATAGGGTTGAAGCATGGAGTCTATACCCTTGTTGAAAGATGGATGTCCAAATGTGCATCAAGAGTGTTTTGGAGGAAGGATTGAAAAGGGTGATTTGAGGTCATAGATGTGACATACACTAACAATATTTCTGAGGATTGAATCCAGCATGCTTTCATTTGGACCAGTGGAATAACGAGTATTTTGTTGATAATTGGTCACACAGTTTGGGAGAGTATGAATTAAATGAGTAAGTTGTAACAACAGAAAGCAAACAAACAAAAAAGCAGAAGTTTCT